CCCACGACGGCCCACAGACACCCACCGTACGGTCAAGAGGACCCCGAGACGCCCTTAGAGAGCCCCAAGGCGGCGTAAGAGGGCCCCAACAATGCCCAAGAGGGCCCAAAGGACCCCCCAAGACTGCCTCACAGCAGGTTAAGACAGCCCAAAGAGGGCCCAATCGAGTTTCACGAGAGCTCCACTACAAGTCAAAACGAAAGATGGCATATGTGACGGCCGTCCTCCTCCTCCTGCGCCTGATCCTGTTTCTGTTCCTGCTCCTCCTCCTCCTCCTCCTCCTCCTCCGCCTCCTCCCCCTCCTCCTCCTCCTCCTCCTCCTCCTCCTCATCATCATCCTCATCATCGTCATCATCATCAGCATCATCAGCATCATCATCATCATCCTCATCATCATCATCAGCAGCAGCATCGTGATCATCATCATCATCATCATCAACATCATCATCATCATCAGCATCATCATCATCAGCATCATCATCATAATCGTCATCATCATCAGCAGCATCATCATAGTCAGCATCACCATTATCATCATTCACCGTCACCATCATCATTATCAGCAGCAGCAACCGCAGCAGCATCATCAGCATCAGCATCACCAGAAGCAGCAGCATCATCATCATCACCATCGTCATCACCATCATCATCAGTATCACCATCAGCATCACCATCACCATCGCCATCATACTCGTCGTCATCATCATCACCACCATCACCAACATTATCGTCATCATCATCATCATCAGCATCATCATCGGCATAATCATCATCATCGTCATCATCGTAATCACAACCACCACCCTAATCATCATTATCCTCTTCTCCGCCTCCTCCACCTTCTCCTCTTCATCAGCATCATCAGCAGCATCATCACCAATAACAACAACACCATCATCAACATTATCATCAACACCTCCATCATGCCATGCCATGTCGTGTCATGTCATATCATAGCATATAATATCGAATCAGATGGTGTCACATCATATCAGCATCATCCCCGTAATCACAGCATCGTCGACATCAGCATCACCACCACGATCACCATTACCATCACCATCGCTTTAACCACCACCGCCGTTACTATCGTGATCAACAACATCACCATCCTGATCACCATCATCATTACCATCATCATCATCGTCATCATCATCGTCATTATCAACAGCAGCAGCAACACCATCATTATCATCATCAGTATCATCAACATCAACAAAGTCGGCATCACCAGCGCCATCACCCCCCATTTCACCATCACCATCGCAATCATCATCACCATCGCAATCACCATCACCATCACCCTCATCCTCATCCTCATCCGTATCCTCAACCTCATCCTCGTCATCATCCTCATCAGCATCAGCAGCATCAGCATCATCGTCGTCACCATCATCACCATCATCATGGCTCCCCCACCCTTCGAACCGCTGCCAGCCTGAATGCCAGGCTGGAACAGTGGCGGCCCCCGATCGCAAAACCGAACGTTCCTGGGCGGGGTGGGCTATCGGGCCCCATGGGCTATGAATGGGCGATTGAGGGTCGATGCGCTCCCCCTGAGCTCGCTGCCCCTGATCCTCAGATCTACATCGGGGAACACGTTCGTGGACCGCGCCGCATCGCCAATGCATCGGCGATGCATCGGCGATTCATCGGCGATGCATCGTTAACATCGGCGATGCATCGGCGACGTCGACGTGCAGCAAATCGGGCTGCACATCGAGCCGCATCGCCGATGCATCGCCGATGCATCGGCGATGCGGCGCAGTCCCCCGACCCCATCTACTCCAGCCCCATCTGGGAGGCTTAGACGTAGGGCCCTTGTTGGAGGTCAAAAATGCACAGAACCCTCGACCCCGGATCGCTCCAGTCGTCCTGTAACCGAGGCTCCAGGCCGCCCTCACGAGGGGAGGAGGAGGAGGAGGAGGAGGAGGAGGAGGAGGAGGAGGAGGAGGAGGAGGAGGAGGAGGAGGAGGAGGAGGAGGAGGAGAAGGAGGAGGAGGAGGAGGAGGAGAAGGACGAGGAGGACGAGGAGCAGGAGTAGGAGGGGCTTCGCCGTCGTCGCCGTCACCATCGCCGCCGTCGTCGTCGATCGATCCGTCCATCAGCCGATCGACGACGGCGGCGGCGACGATGGCGCTGCCGAAGCCATCGGCGGCGGCGACGGCGCCCTCTCAGCCACTTCCGCCGCCATGCTACCACTGGCCCTGTCGCCGAGGCTCCAGGCCACCCTCGCAAAGGGCGGAGGAGGAGAATGAGGAGGAAGAGCAGGAGGAGGAGGAGCAGGAGGAGGAGGAGCAGGAGGAGGGAGGGCTTCGCCGTCGTCGCCGTCGTCATGGCCACCGTCGTCGCCGGCCGACAGACAGCCGATCGCCGCAGGCGAGCCGCGTGCGCTGGGCCGCGCGGCAGCGCGCAGCCCGCCTGCTCGACGGTCATGCAGTTGCCGCAGTCCAGGTCGAACACCTCCGTGCAAAGGGGGCGGCGAGCTGGGAGGAAGTTTCGGGGACGAGGACGAGGAGGAGGAGGAGGAGGGGAGGAGGAGCAAGAGGAGACTCCGTGCGGGGGTGGGCGGCGAACCGGCAGGAGGTTTCGGGGACGAGGAGGAGGTTCGAGAACCGAGGAGCGAGGATAGGGGAGCGAAAAATGGTATGAACATAACAACTTGGAGGTCCGCGCGGATTTTTCGGATCAGGCGCCGCCCCTGGCGCGCTCCGCGCGCCAGGGAGGGGGTCCAGCGCGGATCCGAGAAATCTGCGCGGACCTCCGAGTTGTTATGTTTACGCCATTTTTCGCTCCACTATTTCAGGGATGAGGAGGAGATTCGAGGACCGAGGATCGAGGATTCCATCCTCGAGCCTCGATCCTCGAACCTCCTCGATCCTCGATCCTCGATCCTCGCAGCGAAGCGTTTCGGAGCCTGACCTGTCCGAGCCGAACCGAACCGGCGCTTTCTCGGGATGAGGTTCGAGCATCGGAGCTCGATGAGGTTCGATGGTCGAAGATGCAGGTGGGGGAGGGGGAGGAGGTTGGCATCATGGGGCGTCTAGTTCATCGATGCCTGAGATCGCTGAAGGGAGCGTTTTGCTGGACGCCCGGGGTCTGCCATCCGCCGGGCCAGCCTTAGACCGGAGACCAGGGCAGTAAGGGAGGCGTCGGGAAGAAGCTGGCGAGGCTTGGGCGTTGCTTCAAGGGTGGGGCGACATGTGGGGTACGAAGATAAGTGCCCTTGTCGTGCCCATGTCGGGCCCCAAGGGTTCTTCTAGCTGCCCCACGGAGCACAAGATGTGCATCTTTCTTCAACCCCCACCCATGGCGTCCCCCCCAGGCCATTGACGCATCGCCCGCGAGGCTGGAGCGGAAGTGTGCCAGCCTGGGCTGCGCAAGGAGATCAAGAACCTTCCGAACGCCAACAGAACGTCGGTTGGCATCGGCTAGGGAGTATTCCGGCAGTATGCGTCGAACCATTGCGGCCGCCTTCCATGAGATGTTACCACTCACAAAGCCTCCGCCAAACGCTCCTGAGGCTCACCGCTGAGATTGGCTGGCGAGCTGCATCGTCGAGGAAGTGTCCCCCAAGGACAGGTCGAACCATCGCTGCTGCCTCCCTGCAAAGACCGAGTGGGACATTCGGTAAGAGGCCGCATATGTCTGACGAGTAACAGCCTGACGGCGACGTGACGCACCTCTGCTGTCAAACTACTACCAGAAGAAACGGTACACAAGGAACGTAACCCATTTCTCGCCCCAAAATGCCTGTATGCACGGGGAGCGCTGGAGGAACGACCGTGGAGAAGTCAGGTTGTGGATGCCACGACAACGGACACCCTGACAGTCCTATCATCGAATTAAATAAGTGTTTCAGATGTCGGAAAAGTGTCTGGAAAATATTTAAAACATGTGTTCTACATTGTTTTAACCAGTTCTAACACATGTTTTAGACCTCTGGGAATGATTTGGAAGCACGCTTCCTCTCCATTGCTCGTCCTCCAGAAAGGTATATAAGGGCACCAGGAGCAACGACCGTCTTCCGGACCCGACGCGTGCTTTCTGTCAGCGTCTTGCCTGCACGGCGGCGAACGTGGCAGGAGCAGGAGGAGGAGCAGGAGCAGGAGGAGGAGGAGGAGGAGGAGGAGGAGGAGGATTGGCCCTTGGCAAGGGCAACCTTAGGTGCGCCGCCCAGGGGGGTCACGGAGGGGACGAGCCTGAGCGTGCCAGGACAACGCTTGCGGGGGCCCCGGGTGGCACGCACAAACAGGGGCACTCCAGCGAAGGGTCTCGCCGAAGGAAACATACACACGTCCGAGCGACGCCAGGGGCATCCACAAGAGAGAACGGGACCAACCGAGAGCGCAGCTCCGGGGCACTCCTCTCGGAGCACTGCCAGGTCCTGTCGAGAATCGCATCGGGGGTCGGCTAAGCACAGCGGGCAGAGATCACAGACCAGGCAGCCACACTCCTTGACCTTGTCGGCCGTCCATATGGCTCCGCACGAACAGGCTCAGATCAAGCCCCTCTTGGCCGGAGGCAACTTCTTGCTGGAACACGCCGACCTGGGGATGTCCAAACACGCCCTGCACTCAACCGGTAGTGACCCCCCCCCATGGGAACCCCCAGTGACCCCCCCCTGGTTTTCGAGAGGGGGGGGGGGACGGGCTGGAAACCCCCAGTGACCCCCCCGGGTTTTCTGCCAGCAACGGTAGAACACGCTCTTTCTCTCCTTCTGGGCGCCGGCAAAACGGCGTAAGCCTCTTCAGCCCTGCAAACAAATATGGGAACATGAAACAGATGATACGACTGATGATATTGACAGAATGCGAACAGCTATGCTACAACGAAGGCGACGAAGAATGAAGATTCCGACGGGGACGACGGCGACGACGACGAAGACGACGGCTGCGACGGCGACACCAACGGCGGCGACCAAGACGAAGATGACGGCTGCGACGGCGAAGACGGCAGCCACGCTGGCAGCGTCGGCGTCGACGCATCCGACGAAAACGGCGGCGGCAGAGCCCGCCGCCGAGCGCCGACATCGACATCGTCAAAGGGGGGCCTCCGGATGCCTCCACGGGCCCCCCAAGGGAGGCCCACGGGCGCACAGAAGCCTGCAGACGACTTGTCAATCGTGAGTGCTGAGAGCAGCCTCTGTTCTAATCTACTGAGATTCGTCACTCTTTCTCCTGTTACTCCATGTCGCACGTCACTCCTCATTTCGGTCCTTGGATCGATCGATCACTCGGCGCCGAGACGGCGGCGGCGGCGGCGGGCGGCGGTCGGCGTCCGCAGCGCGGGGGGGTGGGCGTAGGGTGGACGTTCTCCTCGTCCGCTCTCGTCTCGTCCTCCTCCCACCCGTCCTCTCTCGTCTCGTCCTCTTCCGCGCCCTCTCTCGAATCCCGGACGGATCGACCAGAAGACGACACAACTGCACATGACCGTACAACTTTGGCGCTCCGCGCGGGCTTCTTGGATCTGCGCTGGACCGCCCCTCCCTGGCGCCCGGAGCGCGCCAGGGGCGGCGCCTCTGGCCGCCTGGGGGGGCCCAGCACGGGTCCAAGAGATCCGCGCGGAGCGCCGACAGGTTGTGCTTCTGGCGCTTGTGCTCCCTTCTTCGATCGACACCGGACGAATTCGAAGCGGACGAATCGAAGCGGACGGAGCGAGGCGGACGGAGTGAGAGCACGGCTTGCAGCGGAAGCGCCGCGGGGGCGACGCGAGCCTCGAACAGGAGCGCGACCTCCGCGCCGCGGGATAGGGTTAGGTCGGGCCTGTCACCTACAGGGAAATTTTGGGCGAAACATAACAAGTACCCAAAAAGTGCTCAAAAAATGCCCCCAAAAATGCTAACAAAATAGTCCGCAGACTATTCTTTTTGACTATTTTTGGATCTTCCCCCTGTAGAGGGACAGGCCCGACTTCAGGATGAGGGGAGGAGGGGCGGGGAGGCCCGGCGCGGTGCCTCTGGCGAGGCGCGCGCGGCGGCTTCTGCGGAGGAGGCCTCCAGGACTCCTCGAGGCAGGAGCGACGGGGGCGGCAGATGACCAGCCTGGAACATATCCCTATCCCTATGCTGGGCATCTCCTCATGAGCCTGTTTTTTGGATTCGGGCAAGTTTACTTGCATGGCGTTCGCACCCCCCCCCCCTCGCCCCCTCGCCCCTCTTCAAGCGAACACTGGCGTGCAAATGCCTTTCGACTTGCGTGATTTCCGCGCCCCCCCCGAACGTGCAAGTCGTTTGCGGCTTGCTTCAGGCTCAGCCCCCGCCCTTCCCCCCCCCCGTCCATGCAAGTAAACTTGCCAGAGTCTAAAAAAAACAGGCTCTATGCTGGGCATCTCCTCATCACGATGCCAATCTTAGGGATTCCCCCGGTAGAGGGGCAGGCCCGACCTGAGGATGAGGGGAGGAGGGGCGGGGCAGCGCCCCCGCGCGGGCGGCGGGGCCCCCGGCGCGGCGCCCCTGGCGAGGCGCGCGCGGCGGCGGCGGCTCCTGCGGAGGAGGCCTCCGGGGCGCCTCGAGGCGGGAGCGACGGGGGCGGCAGAGTGTACCAGCCTGGAACACATCCCGATTCCTCTGCTGGGCATCTCCTCATCACGATGCCAATCCTAGGGGTTCCCTTCTTTTGTTGAGGGCGCATCCCTACGATTGTCATGGCTTTTGGGCGTGCCACTCTTAGGGATGGGGATACGTTCGAGGCTGGCAGGCAGAGGCAGGGCCCGCGCCACGCACCGCGCGGGCGCCGCGAGGCGGGGCCGTGGCGCCCGTCTCGCAGTCGGCCCGTCGAGCACGAGGGCGCGCGGCGAGGACGCAGGGGGCCCGGGACGACCGTGCCGACGCTGCACGGGCGGGGCGCGGCCAGCAGAAGCAGCCAGGGATGGCTCGAGGAGGCGAGGATGCCAGGGGTGTCTGCGTCGGGCCAGAGGGGGGGATAGCAACGGGGGGGGGTCTGAGAATCGGCTCACGCATAGCTGCTTCTCCCGGCGCCTCCCGGCGCCGGGAGGCGCCCACGACGTATCGAGGAATGGGCCCGGCGGCGAGGCCGAAACCAGCTGCATGCAGCAGATTTCGTAACCCCCCCTTTCCCCATCCCCCCCGTTCGTTCGGCCAGGGGTGCCCTGGGGAGCGTGGCCCACCCTCCCTGTGCGGGTGGCCAGCCCTGCACGAGCGGGAGCAAAACCCACCCGGCGCTCAGAGGGCGGGCGCCGGGGTCGGAAACAGCACGAGGCCTGGGGTGGGAGCGCTGGGCCCCAGAGTCGGATACAGAATGGAGCCGAAGCCGGGGAGCTCCAGGACGGAACCTCGGCATGGAGCCGGGCGTCGGGAGCGGGAAGCTGGAGGGCCAGGTCAGCGACACCAGGCTCAGCTCGTGAACGTCTTCTTATTCGGCGTGTGGAGTTTGTGAAGGGGCCCTGGGACATACAAACAAGTACGCACACACTAATATTCACCATATGTTCTCATATTTTCTGGGTTTTTGTCTTCCCCCCCACTTCCCATACTTTCCCATATTTTCTGGGGAATCGACGATTCATTGTGTCTGTGTGTATTTTTCCCCCTCCTGGGTTTGGGCAGAATAGGGGGGAGGGGAGGGGAGGGGGTCTGGCTCTGGACCTCTGCTTAGCGCGACCGTTTGCAGCAGGGCGCCTCAGAGGGAGACCCCGCCTGCCCGCCACAGGCGCCGGAGGGGGGGGGTGAGAGGGTGCGAGGGCCCGCGCCGACCAACGAAACAGCGAATCAGACAACCGTCGCACTCCGAGAATCTGAGCTTCGGTGTGGCCGGGCGGGCCAGGAGACACCGCACGGCCAGCCCATCCGGGCGCGCGGGAGGGGGGTGCCAAAGGGCCCCTCGGACGCCCGCGCCGGAGGCGAAGCTGGACGCCCGCGTGGCCCGTGGCGGAGGGCGCGAGGATGGGCCGACGGGGCGAGGACGCAGCTGCTCATCCCGCGGCCCACCCCCACCCCCCCAGGCCTCCTCGCGCTGTGGAGGAATCACGCGGAAGGCTTTTCGCTGCTCGGTGGCCTCCAGGGGGGCCCTCCTCGGGCCTCGGGGCCGTGCAGCGTCGGCTCGGGCCGCAAGACCGGTCCCCCAGGGGAAGGGGTCCAGACCTCTGGGGATCCTGTTCGACTGCAGGTTTAGGAGCTCGCCCACGAAGCTCGGCGAGGCGCGCTCGCCGCGCGCGCACACCGCCGCCAGCGGCAGCGCGCGCGCGGGGCTCGTGCGCGGCAGCGCGCGCTCTGGGCGGCGCGGCTGACTGGGCGCTCGTGGCCGAGGAGCGCGGCCGAGCGCGGGGAGAGGGGCTCTCTCGCGGGGGGGGGGACTCGGCAGGGGGGTGGGAGCTGCCGCGCAGGGCCCTCGAGGGGGGGGAGAGGGGCGGCAAGATTAGGGGAGGAAGAGGAGCAGGAGGAGGAGGAGGAGAGGAGAGGAGGAGGAGGAGGAGGAGTAGGAGGAGGAGCAGGAGCAGGAGTAGGAGGAGGAGCAGGAGTAGGAGTAGTAGGAGTAGGAGTACGGGTGGAGAAATAGTAGGAGTAGGAGTAGGAGTAGGAGTAGGAGGAGGAGGAGGAGAGGAGGAGGAGGAGGAGGAGGAGGAGCTAGGAGGAGGAGGAGGAGAGGAGGAGGAGGTAGGAGGAGGAGGAGGAGGAGGAGGAGGAGGAGGAGGAGGAGGGAGGAGGAGGAGGAGAGGAGGAAGGATGAGGAGGAGGAGGGAGGAGGAGGAGGAGGAGGAGGAGGAGGAGGAGGAAGGCGGGCGTCTGCCAGGCGAGCGACTGGTGCGCGCCCGCCCGTCCGTCCGCGGCAACGCCCGGGCGAGGCGCCAGGCCTCGGCAGCCATGGCAACGGCCGCGCCAGCTGGCGCTCATGGCGGCCGGGGCACCCGCGAGGCAACGCCTACCATGAGGGCTGCCCGACCGCGTGGCGGCCCAGGACATCGACGTCCTCCTCTCTCAGCCCCCCGCGTGATGGAGATCGCGACCCCCGCGCCTACAGCGGCCCGGCGATCGGCTCAGCGCGGGGAGATCCGCCGCGTGCGAGGCTGCCCTGCAGAACCGCCTGGGCGAACTCCCACCGCCACAGGCGAGAGACTGGCAAGACCAAATGTATCGCAGCAGAGGTCCCTTCACGGACACCGGACTACCGAATACTGCTACAGCACGCCTCCGGCTACGACGACGCCTGCGGCAACACCTGCGGCCACGACGAGCTTGGCTTTAGGTCGGGCATGTCCCTCTGCAGGTGGATTTTGGATGAATATATATATATATATATGTATATATATTATATATATATATATATATATATATATATATATATGTATGTATGTATATAGATGCTCAACAATAATCAAAATACAAAAAAGTCCCCTGACTATGTTTAAACTATTTTGAATACTCCTCATGTAGAGGGGCACGACCGACTTAAGCTTGGCTTTCTCTACCTCCCGCCGTTCCTCCCCGCCACCCACTTCGACGCAGCCCGCGTGGAGCAGGGCGAGGACGATGGAGGGCTCCCAGATGGGGTCGGAGCATCGCGCTGCATCGCCGATGCATCGTCGATGCATTGGGAATGCATCGGCGATGCACCGGCGATGCACCGGCGATGCATCGTCGACATCGGCGATGCATCGGCGACATCGACGTGAGGCAACTCTTGTCCACGCCGAGCCGCACCGCCGATGCATCCGTGATGCGGCGACGCGGCGCGAGCGTCCGACCCCCTCTATGCCCCGACCCCCTCTGGGAGGCCCAGGAGGGGAGGCAGGGCGCTGACGAGGACACCGTGCACGGGGACCCAAAGATCCGATGTCATGGTTTGTTCAACACGGGGCCCCCGGAAGTCTCGACCCATTCCCCAGGACCGGTTTTTCATCCTGAGTCGTTTTTTGACGGTCCCAGGGCCCGGCGAGGGCCGCTTGAGGCCGAACACCGAGAAACACCGCCGTCTTGATTTTTTCAATGCGTTGGAAGTCTGGGGATCGGGAGCGGCCAAGAGGGGGGCGTCCAAGAGGGGGGGGGGGGCAAATCATGGCCAGCGGCATGTGCGCGGCCCAGCGGGGCGGGCCAGGGACGTCATGAAACAAGACGAGGCGCCCTGAAATCTAGGGAGATATCAGGGCCCCCGCCGTGAAATCCACCCCCCCCTAGTCATCCCCCCCCTCTTTGCCGCCCCCGAGGGGAGAAGGACGAGAAGGACCCCGCGGCGGTGCACCTGCCGGGTCGGCGCGGCGAGCGCGGCGGCGGCGGCGGCCCCCGGGCCCCGAGGCGGCGGGCGACCCCGGAGCGACGACGGGCCCCTGACGCGGAGGCCGCGCGGGGGGGGGCGCCGGGCGATCCGCTGGCTGGACATCTGGCCTGAAGTCGGGCGCGTCCCCCCCCCCCCCCGGGGGGATTTTCGCAAAAAAAATAAAAAGTACTCTAAAAGTACTTCCCACATGGTCCAAACATGCTCAAACCACAGTCCCTGGACTATTCTCTTTGACTATTTTTGACTATTCCTCCTGCAAAGGGG